CTGATGCTAACTAATTTTGAAGTCTTGCAATCTCGTCTGCATCATCTCTCGTAATGATCATATTGTCAACATAGACAATTAGTGCTGTAATTTTACCCTGTCTGCGTTTTAGAAATAGCGTGATCAGAGTTACTCTATTGAAAGCCATATTTCTTCATTGCCAAACTCAGTTTCCCGAACCAAGCTCGAGGAGATTGTTTCAAACCATACAGAGTTTTCTGCAATTTGCATACGACATTTGCTTCAGAACTTGTCATATGAATGGAGGAATGTCCATGTAAATTTCTTCTTCAAAGTCACCATGAAGGAACGCATTCTTCACATCTAGTTGATGTAATGGCCAATCAAGATTTGCGCAAGAGATAATAGGACTCTAACTGTGTCAAGTTTAGCAATTGGTGAGAAGGTTTCTTGATAATCAACTCCATATGTTTGGGTATAACCTTTAGCCACTAATTTTGCCTTGTATCGTACAACGGACCCATCTGCATTATATTTGATGGAGAAGACCCATTTGCATCCCATCGTCTTCTTTCCTTCAAGTATTGAAACTAGTACCCATGTCTCTTTTTTTGGTAGGGCCTCTATCCCTTCCTTCATAGCTTGGACCCATTTGTGATCCCTTAACGCTTCTTCAACTCCGGTAGGAATGTGATGAGACGAAAGATTGTCAGCAAAACTCTTTATTAGTTTAAGATGCTTATCAGTGGATACATAATTGGCGATAGAACATTTCGACCGTTGTTCTTCCACCTCAAGAGAGTATCGATTTGGTGGCTTACCACAATTATGCCTAAAAGGTAACTTATGGCTAACTGGAGCAAGGATATTTATGGTATTAGAAATTTGAGGTGTAATTGGAGAGCTAGGAGAGTTTACCTCAGTGATATTCTCAGGAAAAGTGTCATTGGGTGTTGAGGAGTGAGGGGGATCTACGGGAGGGGTCGTCTCTGTCTCTGTAGTGCCTTCAATTTCCATTAGTGGAGATATATCTGGGTCATTAAACCCTGGCCAATCAAATCGCAGCCAGTTTACCTTTTCATCACGTTTCTCATGATTCTTCCCTTGAAAGAGGAGAATTGGATGCTTTGGACGTAAAGAGAGTCTTAGATTCTAGAAATGTAACATCCATTGACACATATGTACGTCGATGAATGAGATCGTAGCATCTATACCCTTTTTGATGTACGTTGTAGCCCAAGACACCGAACTGCATGAGGATCGATTTTAGTGCGTTGATCCTTGTGGAAGTGAACAAAAGCAACACATCCAAAGATACGTGGTGGAATCATCAAGACGGAAGGCAAGGTGACGAAAGTGGATAGTGCTTGGAGAGGAGTCTGCATTTTAAGGACTTTTGATGGCATTCGATTAATAACATGAACAGTCGTAGTGACTGCATCTGCCCAATAATGGCTGGGCATATTAGCTCCAAGAAGAAGGGCTCGTGCGGTCTCAAGGATGTGGCGATTTTTCCGCTCGACAGGCCCGTTTCATTGCGGGGTCTGGGGACATGACGTCTCATGAATAATTCCATGGTGGCGCAAAAAATCATGGAACTGAGTATTCACATATTCGCCGCCATTATCGGAGCAAAGAACCTTGGCTTTGGCACAGTATTGGTTCCAGATCGTCTCATAAAAGGATCGAAATGTATCAACTACTTCATCTTTATGTCTTAACAAATACAACCACGTTATTCTAGTGCAGTCATTGACAAATATTACAAACCACTGATAGCCAAGCATAGTAGGTTTCGGGGACGGGCCCCACACATCAGAATGAATCAGTGTAAAAGGAATCGTACTTTTATTTAAACTCAAAGGATAATTAGTTCGATGGATTTTAGCTAGAATGCATGTCTCGCATCTAAATTCCGAACTTGATACATCCGAAAATAAACTAGGAAATACATGCTTTAAATAACTGAATGAAGGATGACCTAATCGACAGTGCCAAAGCCAAATTTGCTCCTCCTTCGATTTATTCTGATGGGAAATCTGACATGCACGTCCCACCTTCAAATTCTCTATATAGTAGAGTCCCACATTCTCAATACCACGCCCAATGATCTTCTGGGTGAGAATATCCTGAAGAAAACAAACATCAAGATAAATAATCAAACACATTTTGATTCCTTGGTAATCTGGCTCACAAAAAATAATTTATGAGAAAGGGAAGGGACAAGTAATGTGTTATATAGAGATAGGTCCCATTACAATACCACAGTACCCGCCCCGATTACCGAGCAAACTTTTCCATTAGCATTCGCAATGCTCATTCTTCAGGGTGTAAACCATTAGGAAAAATCCCTTTTATTATAAGTCATATGGTCAGAAGCCCCCGAGTCAAGTATCCACTCGGTATAAGCATCCTCCATGTTGGACCCAAGCAGAATGGTACCTGTGGTGGCATCATTGTAGCTTTCCTGTGTAGTGAAATTATGGGCTTCAGCTGGAATTAGAGAGAGAGAGTCGAGTCATTTGCAACAAGTGAAGCTTGGCCCACCAAAGCACCCATACCATTATCACGTTTTTTTCTTTGCCTGTAATTCATGACACCATTCGGGATAGCCATTGAGCTTGAAACATGTCTCCCGAGTGTGTTTAGATCCTCCACAATAAGAGCATTTCTCCCTGTCGAATGCAGTCTTCAATATAGAAGTGGAATTCATCTTTCCATGACCTTTGGTGTAGGCGCTCTAATCTTCAAGCTGTTGGATGCCATCACAGCACCCGGTGGTTCCTCACTTGTGGCCTTTGTCATTACTGCTTGCCATACCACCTCGCGTTGGACATGGGCATATGCTTGCTCCACGGTAGGGAAAAGTTTCATTTGCAAAATATCTCTTCGAGCACCATCTAGCTTATCATCTAGGCCATCCAGGAAGGTATATACACAATCTTCTTATAACACGCTGTTATATTTCTGAATATCAGTCTAGCACTGCACTGGATTCGGCCTTCGAAAGTCAATTTCTCTCCATAGTCCCTGCAAGTTGTTGTAGTATTTTTCCAGTGAGTCACCAGGTTGTTTTAAGTGTATTACTCGGTGACGGAGGTCATATACTTGGGAGGCATCACTCCCATCGAAGTAGGTTGTTGCAATGGTGTCCCACATTATTTTTGCCGTTGGAAATCTAATGAAGTTTCCAATCAATGATGGATCCATGGAATTGATCAACCAACCCTTCACTATGCCGTTGTCGGTGCACCATTTCCGAAAAGTTGGGTAGATCGATGGAGTTTGGGGAAGATCATCATTGATATACCCCAATTTATCTTTGCCAGCTATGCACATTTCCACCACTTTGAGACCACGGGGCGTAATTGGTCCCATCCAGCTTAATTCTGATTGGTGGATTGGACATGTTGGCAATCTGAGTTGGGTTTTCAGTGAGTTCGGACAGAATAGTAGTTGCAGAAGATTCTTCCAAATGTAGGTCTGCATCAACCATGGTGAAAAATTCTTGTCTCTGCATTACTGGGTTCTAGTTTCAAGGTTATAGAGGGTAAAGTAACAGCTGCTCTCATACCATTTTATTTTGGAGAAGAAAATCATATTTTATTTTCTTGTATTTCTTTACAGTGACAACGGTATATAAACACAATGAATATTCATCCTATTTTGGTATACATATATCTTGCTATAATCTAATGATAATTTTGCCTCTTGATTGATCTGTTGGCCACATAATGTAGGAATTTGCCTCCTTAATTTGCTCCTATAATTTTCCTGTAGACAACTCATGCCAATAGTAGCATGACCATGGAGATTCAGACATACTTTATTTAGCTAGTAAAGTATCAACATTGAGTATAATCTAACAAACATGTAAAACATGTCTTTTGTATTTTGTAGATATTCATGATTCTATACAATCAACTGTTGCAAAATACATAAGAACAGACGGTAAATACATACTGAATAATCACAAGGTAGTTCTAGCCAAAAAAAAAAATGAAGACAAAAAAGGGGATCGAAACTGCAAAACAAAGATGATAAAATGAGTAATGCACAACATGAAAAGAAGCACTACAAACCCCATTCGAAAGTTTAACAAGAAATTGTAAATCTTGGCATATTGTTTCATATCTAAACCCAAAGGATAATTCAAGCCCATTTGGCATGACTTCTAAGAACCCAAAAGAAGTTTTTGAGATCTAAAAGCTACTTTTGAATCCCTTTAAGTAATTTTATGAAAGTACTTCTAATTAAAAGAGCTTTTAAAGAAATTTAGTTCAATGTGATTTCTTTTAAAAACACTTTCGAAATAAGAAGCTTTTGAAAATTAGTTTTCAGACAAAAATTAAAATAACTTCCTCATAACCCTCTTTAACAGAAATCAAAAGCCATGTTAAATGGGCCCAAATTCTATGGACTAAAAAGTTTGGCAGAAAATTGGAAGTCAAAAGTGTAAAACAGAGACACCAAACTTTCTCGCCTTTACTAACTTGCGTGCTCCCGCTGCATTAATCTAATTCTATCATCCAAGGTACTGCAAAATAACTTTCTGAAACCTGCAGACTTAAAAGGAACTATTTCAAGTACTTCTTACCGTACCGTAGACCTCAAAACGAACATATGGTAGGGATTACCCTTGATAGAAATGCTATTTGAAAAGACATTTTAGGATACAGCGAAGTACGTGCTTAAGGTTGATAGATAATTGTAAAACATTACATAAATGTTTATTGTACTGAAATGATAAAGAACATAAAATGAAATAGGCATTTGAGAGGCCTGGCTCTCCACACTATTCCCACTACTTGCTTGGAATGAATCCCTAAATCCCCTCCGCCATCACATTTATAGACAAATCCTGACTGACTCACTACCCTTTCCCCCACTGATAAAAAAACTACTAACTGAAAGTAATAACAGATTGCCTCTTATTTCTTATTGGAGCCTATCAACAATGTAATTGTATGCACTGAATAATAACGACATACAACTATCAAGTAATCTAATAACTTGATCCATAAACAGGCAGATAAAGAGAACAGTAAGAAAAGACTACTTGTTGGAGCCCATGGTACAAAACATTTGGGGAAATTCAGAGTTCATGTCACCTCCTCAAGGAGAGTAGAAGACTGAATCAATGCACATATTTGATTAGTAAATTATAGTAGAAGCTTTAAGTATACTCTAGCAGGGACATCCTAAATGTGATCTACCAGTTAGATTAGGGAAGCATCTAGAGTCACTGCTTCAAGTCACCTGCCTATGGCCTACATGGTAATAGTCCCATCCCCCTCTGGTTCTTTCCTTTTCATCAGCTTTGCGTACCACGCTTCTTGATTGTCAGATTGATCATATGAATTTTTGGCAGGCAATGTAAATTCCCCAGCGTTATCCCTCTTGCTTACGCTTGTTGATGAGCTGTCCTCACTTTCTACAACAATTTTGTGTCTAGAACTTGTAACGTCAACACAGTTCTGTCCATGAGCAACCTCCACTAGACGTGGGATCCCAAGAGAGGTGAGAACTGTTTCAGGCTTCAGCAACTGAGGATCTCTCACACACGGTATGGTGCCAGGGTAGTGCATATTGAACATAAAGGGCTTCATAGGGCCAATGTACAATGGAGCATGAGAAAGGTAATTGTGATGTGGTAATATATGTAAGGGGTATGGTAACTTTGGTTGCAGTGGAGAAACTCTCTTCGTCTCCTCAATTTGTTTTAGGACATTTGGTGCAGCCATCAAGTGTGAATGGGCATGAGCATGAGTAAAAATATTCACAGAACTCAAATTTGGCAAGTAAGTGGATTTAGTAAAATTAAAATCGTGTTCTATGAAATTCATAGAAAATGATGCTCTGTTTTCCAATGGTTGGCCAACTTGGCCTTGCTAGTCAACATCATTGCATGTGTCTCTGGCTGATGTATTAGCATTTAAGTCCAAATCTGCCAAATAGAAATTTCTCAATTCAGCTGGAAGAGAAGATTGAGGGGACTCATCAACATCATCACAAAGGCAATTGAGAATAATGTCAAGCCTCTCTGCTCTTCTGAAACCAACTCCTGAACAAGAATCTTGAATATGCTCATGCTCCATTTGAAATCCAATCTCTGAAGTATCTTCTATAGCAGCGACATTGAGGTCAATTCCGTGAAATTGCTAGAATATGGTTTCTTATCAAAACTCTTCGAAAAAGAAGCAGGATAGAGAGCACTGGTTGCAGCAGAACCCTTCCAACCTAATCCACCTTCAAACTTCAATGGGATCATAGGTCTACCCCAAGGAACCCCAGCTCTTGCTACGACGTGTATAACATGATGAGAAGATACAGTTTCTACAACAGACTGCTCGCCATTATCTAACTCATTTGTGTTGATATCTTCATTCAGTATAAATCCAACAAAAGAGGAATTATGATCCCTGGCAAAAACTTTTGTAGTTTTTGTCAACTCAGTTGAGTCATACAACAGAAAGCAATCATTAACTTTTTTCGGTCATTCTAGGATCCATTTTGACTGATTCATCATTGCTAGACAACATATTTTCACTTCCCCCTGACATTTTAGGATTTATCATTACCTTCTTGGAACAAAAAGGGACACGGTTATCATTTTCACCAGATGATCTTATATGTTCTTCCATTTCAGTTGAGCAGTTGAAGTTTTTTGAATTGCCATAGCAAATTAAACTTTCACCAACGGTTACATCATGTTGTTCTTCATAGGACAAGATGCATCCTAAGACACATCTGTAAGTATCAGTCTCTTCATCAACTTCTCTTGCACCATCCCTAGGTGTCCTCAATGCAGAACCCCACTTATGAGAATTCTCTTCATCTGGCCTTGACATATTTCCATTCTCCTGATTATGTGGATCGGATATTGGAGTATTTATCATAAAAGTTAATTAAATCACACTCTAATCATGTTTCCTAAAATATGAATTAAAATAGGAAACTAAATAATTAATTTATCTCTATGATATTGCAACAATTTGCTTTCACACTACAAAATGAGATCCGACTCTTAATCATCAAAGGTGCCTTCACGCTATTCCTGTCTCTTTCCTTGATAATAGCCTTATGATCAATTTCAGTAGATATACCTGATTCTGAACTGGCCGTCACAGGCTCTTTCATTCTATGGTGAAACCCTGTAGAGTGAGAACTGCTCCCAGAACCACTGTGGTTATTGAATGAGCTGGCTCTTTCTAAGGTCTCCCACTGGCTGTGATTAACTGGAAGGATACCAGACGATGAGTCAGAGCATGAAGATTCAGTCTTGTTTTGTTTAACATGCATGATCACATTGAAGCCATCTTCAACAGCGTTCAGATGATTCACCTGTTTTTCCCAACATCCATTGTGCAATTATCATTGCTGAGAGGTAATCCATTCTCCAAGCTGATATCACTCTTCGCCGACATAGGTCGTGCTGAAGTGATTCTGTCTGATGATTGTGTAGAAATTTCTCAACTTTTTGATGATACATGTTCTCAGCAGGTGCTGATTCAAAAGTTTGTTCAGCAGAAGTTATTGACATTGAGATAACAGAAGACCATGGTCTCACGCTACCAGCACTATCCTCATTTGTGCCACTGGCAGAAACAGCATCATGGCTTGGGCACGTCTCATTCCTGGTCAATAAATTAGCTTAGCAACTGCTGATCTTTCGGCCACCCATGTGTCTCAGCTTCCCACAATGAACACAAGTATTTCACAAGAAGGTACAGTTCCCAAGATTGACTACTTTCATAAGAACACAACTGATTGCCAAAGCCATCTATTTCATACAATGCAGAGGAACAAGAACGTAAAATGGTGTAGTGAACTTTTTTAAAGCCTATCTACTGTGTCGGATGTCACAATCCTTCAGATTCTCCTGATTTAAAACAGATGCCATTTGTTATCTTCTACCTATATTCTTGAAATTTACAAGTCACAAAGTGTAATTCCTGCAGGATTAATATCCACAACAGTTAAAAGTTCTTCAAAGGAAGCACAGACATCTCCAACTTTTTTCCTTCATATATACGTTCTCATAAAGTTTTGCAGCCTTCAAGACGGTCAAAGCGATTTGCTATACTGAATAATCGGAACGTGAAGCTGACCAGATTAATGAGAGTGCCTAATATACCGCAATATAATGAGAAGTTAACAAAGTTCCAGATTACGCCACAGGCAATAGAGTAAAATTTATTCGATTCCACCTCAATGAAGAAGCAATACCCTTTCATTAGGAACAAGATTCAGCGTCAATTGGTGCAAGAGACCAAATAAACAGATAGCATAACAATGACCAATTCCCCAGAATTGCAAGCCAATAAAATTGAGAACAGTCAAAAAAATTAACAGAATATTTTCAATAGAAAAAAAAAATGATGCAAATTGTTAATAGAACAGGGTGGGTCTAGAAGAAAAGATTACAGATACATAAACACTAAATTGACTGCCAATTTATACAAATCGAAAAATCTCAACCTTCGGAAACCCAAATGAAAAAGCCTTTAATAAATTTCAAAAATCATGCTCCCGTACACCTTTAGCTTCATGTACTCAAGAAAAGTATTAAAATAAAAAAAATTGAAAAATGAGATCTAATATAAAGGGAAAACATTAAAAGAAGAAAGACAAATTACCAGCGTTCCCTTTTTTGCTTGAATGTGAAAAATAACCCTCTTTTTTACTTAATCGTTTCTCTCTCCGGCACTATGGAAAGCCCCGCCAAATGAAGCTGACGGAAACAGAAAAATACATATAAACAATCTCACGGTCATAGATAGAATCACAAATACCTACAATAGTGTAAGCAGTGGTGTCTTGAGAAAGCGATGTGCCGTCCAGGTAGCAGATGAGAGTGTGGAGGGATACACGGTGGGTCCTAAAGTCTTACAGAAAGTGCTACAAGGGGGTAGAGACAGCGGTCCTCATAACAAGGCTATAGGAATTTTCAGCAAAAATGAATGAATGAATGAATATTTTACGACAAAACAATGTTGCAGATGACCTACCTTTTCTAGGCTACCAGCACAAACGATGCGTCTGGATAATAATTCTCTTAGTCGATCAAAAAGTCATATCGGTGAGTAAAAAAAGTTGATCTTTTAATGCAACTAACACGTTTGAAGCCAAGGTATATTTTAAGAGAGTGAATTCGAAGAGAATTCTCAAGCTCATTTTGAGTATGTAGTGAGGATTGTACCTCGATCATGAGCTATACTCTATTAAAATTTTAAATAAAATAATGACTATCATCTATCAACTTGTATCAGAAATCAACAATATCAAGAGAACCAACCATTGAAAATGAATCAGGGTATAAAACATCATACAAATCGACCAATCTACTTTTTCTTATAAACGGAATTTTCCTTTATGTTTTATAACTGAATATTGGTTACTGGACATTCCAACTTGATAGGCAGAACGCGTATCCAACATCAAAATCGTAAAAGTATATAGAGCGTATAAGTAGCGTACAAAAACCTTCCTTTGCCTAAAAGGATAAAGAAAAAAATAAATAAATAAAGAAGCCATAAAGGAATTTATTCTTCATAAGAAGAGAACTTCAAAATTTCTCCCCATAGTAATAAGCTGTTCCAAGCATTAGAGCCACAGTAGCACCTTGAGCAACCACACGAGCTCTCATTAGTTTCTGACCCAAGTTAGAATTTCCCTGTCTGAAACTAATCAGACCAGCTGTGAGAACTCCCGCAGTCACAAGTGCACCTGTAATACAAGGCCCTCAAATATATGATAAGTGAAAAATTAAATAAATTTTTGATATCAAACAACAAAAATCATTACTAGCATATGACTGATGGCATGAACTGGTAGAAACTTAAAATTGAGACTGTAATTCCTTCTAGCAGAAACAGATCCTTGAAAAACACAAGTTCATTTGCCCAAATTTTGGTTATATGGACCAGGATCCTATGAATAACTGTTCCTTCATAGTGCCAAATTAGCCTGCGACTAACGAATGACTACTAAATATAAGCATTACAATAATAAGAGCCACAGACCTATATGCTCCAAACAGTCCGCTAAGCAACATAGGTAAAAGCTTATGTTAAAGACACATCGCGGGAGCATGTAGGAATAGCACTGGGGAGGTCGGGGCCAGTTCTATACTTCCCATCCCCGCCACGTCAAGAATTTGAGTGAGCATGGCTATTGCCAATTAGAAAATCTATTTTAAATAAATAATAAACCTCAAGAATAAAGAAAGAAATTATATGAATTACACATCATTATACATTTGTATCATTGTTGCATGCAATTTACAATATTCATTAATCATTCAAAATAATCATATGACTTACAATATTCATTAATCATTCAAAATAATCATATGACGAAAAAAACTAAAGCAATGAAATTAAAACACATTCTTAATTCACGACCTTCAAATAAGATCATTACTACGTCCTCAATAGCTCAGTTTTCACTAGATCCAAATATACGACATACAGATACGGTTGTCCACTCAAATCAAGAAACCTCAAACATTGACAACATTGAGTCCTCTCTCCGGACAACATATAAGAAGAGACACGCCAATAGTGAAATAATTAGTAAACCTTTGGAATAGATGACAGAGGTAGGAGTTCGTCTTGGCCAGGACCTAGCAAAAATTACATAGTTTACGAGACCCCATTATAAGTTCTACCCATATATCTTTTGATCGTCAGTCAAATATTGATTAACATGTAATTGATCAACCACTAGATGCAAATGACTCTTCTGCTCAAAAACGAAATGTAATACACCCATGGCCACTGTACTTTATGCTTAGTGTCACCAAGGCCATCTAAATTGATTTTGATCCATCATGGTCACTGTACTTTATACTTAGTGTGACCATGGTTACCCGACTTTATATAACGCTTCAATCAAATCACTCAATTATTACCACAACAAACACACACATTAAAAAATTCACACATAATTATTATATATATATATATATATATATAAAAAAAAAGACGAGAATAAAAAAAAATCACACAACATGGTAATCATTACAAAAAAAAAAATTATATGAAAGCATAAACAATTTTTTTTTTTGGTTTCTGCTAACGCACAATATATACAACTAATCACACACACGCTCTCTCTTTCACATAGGTGCTCAGGAAGGGAAAACTCAGTAAGTTCAGGGCAGAGGAGGGCAAACCCATCAAATTTCAATAGAATTGGCTTCTCCATAAACATGTCACATAGCAAATCAATGTGTAAATTCTAGAAGTAGATACGGCCGACAGAGTCTTCTGGATCTTTATAGAAAGTGAAAAGGAGAGTCCAACTGGGAGATACTTCCTTCTTTCATAGTGAATGATCATATTTTGTCTAAAATCCATGTAATTAGTATCCAACAGAGATAATCTTCGAAATTTCAATATTGCAATAAAAGAACGTCATACTCAATGTAAAGTTTCTTTCACCATCTCTTAAAGTTTCTTTCAAAAGTGTATATCAAGATTCAGTAAAGTTTAGCTGAGAAGAATGACACATCCTGTACCTTGAATCATATGAACCATGATGCCACCACTACACAGCCACATCTAAATTTAACTATCAGAAAGAGAATTTAAAAATTGGAGAAACCAATCAAGTTTGTGCTGTCTATTGGATCTAGATGACGTGGACTAGATTACAAATTATTTGCAAAATGAGAATTATAAGACAATATCTCAATAAAATTTCAAAATTTATCCATGATATTACTAAAGATACTTCAGGTCTTCCGAAAATTTGTGAAATTGAGGGCTAGGACGTACACAGGAAGCAACTTTCTTGACATTAAATTGATACCTAAAGAAGCAACAATGACTCGGTATCTGACGAAGTAGCAGTAGAAATCCCAAATTCAAAATCATGTACATTTTTCAGAGAGCAATTTAAAAATTAAAATGTTTTAGAGGCCACTGCTTCTTGATACAAAACAAATCTACACGCCTTTAATTACGTAGTTATTACTACAAATTTGGGCATACATATTGAGTCTTGAACCAAGAATGTGAAGTCACGAATCCTTGTGGAACTTAAATATTTGTGACCAGGAAAATGATCGAAAAACTCTAGCAAGGATAGCATCAAGTACTCAAGGCATTATAAGAATGATACTTCAAAATTCACCTAAAAGATTATATCAAATCTCAACAATTTATGTCACCAATATCACCTAATCTACAATTCTNTAAGAACGGTGTGCAAGCGTATAATTTTAAGTTAATGCAATTTACATCAATGGCAATTTAAAGGAAGCAAAGTTACCTATAGGGACAAAGGGATTTCTAACTCGCTTTTTCTCCTGGAATAATTCTTCCAGCTCCGAATTGACGGCCCCCATCTACTCCACATTACACTAGTTAGTTGAAAATCAAAGAAATCAATACTGGCCAAGAAAATTGCAAATCTTGAATCAATTATCCTTTTCCCATTTTTCTGGCGAAGTAATAAATAATTATAATAACCTTCAGAATAGGAATTTATGGAAATCAAATTTGAATATAATATTTTCCAATTGAAATTCCACCTCAATGAATTTAAAGAAAATTTACATTTCACAAAGAATGGAACTTCAAAAAGTCCGAAAAAATTCAGTAAAGTCATTGATTAATTACTCCGAAATGAAGTTACTGTCTCTATCATCCGCAAGTATTTTCAATAAGAACATCAGTTTAAATAACATAAACATTACGCCCTTACCTCGAAACTTGAATTTGATAGAGTTCAAAAGAAGAAATATTTGGTAGAATTCTGAAGCCAGTTCAATGATTTGTTTCTGGCTGCTTTGCAACTGAAAATGAAGCGGTTCGATTAGATCGGACCCGAAGAGTCGGGCTCTAGCCCATTTGATTAGGACCATTAGATTGCTTACTTTTTTCTTATTATTTTTTAATTTTCTTTTATTTGTTTGTTTTATATCACTTTCTTAATTTTTTAATCAGCAGAAAATCATTCGTATCAACTGTTCCTTATTAGTATGAAAATTCATGTGCAGTACATTCTTACAAAATTGGATCCTTTTTTCTGTGAATAACCTGATTTTTGCATGCCTTGGATAACAATAAGGCTTGTTGTATGATCATGTGTTGCCAAAATTTGAGCATTTGATGTAAATAATGGATTAACGTAATATCGTCAAGTAGGATGTTATGAGTTAATATTGTCAACAATGATTGTATATATAGCATGACTACAATAATGCTATTTGTACAACATTAAATGACAATATTGATATATCAAACTCTTCAACAAAGTTGTCAACAAACATTTTACACTAAACAATAAACATGTTTCTTTTTTGAATGCTTGGCTAAAATAAAAAGAAAAATGCTACTTTGCCAGAAGAGTCTGATCAGATATAGTGATAGAAGCCGCCATGGTAGGAGACGATTGAATAGAAAAGTTATTTGTGTTTAAAATAGTTCAATAATAAAATCTCACGTAACATTATGTTAACCTTTGTATTTATATATCATGATTGAAAGAGATTGGCACATCATTACCACAGGAACACGCAGCAAGGCACGTGTCGCATGTTAAAAGCTACGTGGGAGCATTTTAAGTTTAGAAATCTCCTCAAACCGACTTGCCAATTTTTCGTAAAAATTTAGGATCTCTTCCTCTGTCAGTTTCTACATTTTTCAGATCAAACTACGTGAGAGAAAATAGAGAACATTACAAAATGATGAACGTTTTGGCTCTATGTTTTGTAATGACCACACTTGTAACCGCAGGTGTGTTTTCTCCCAGCCCAGAACGAATGCACAAAGATGATACTACTGTAGAGAAAGAAGGGCGCAGAGTTGTGGTGGTGGAATTTGATAAAGATGATGGAAACACCAAAGTTTCTATCTCTACACAGGAACAGAAGGGTCAGAAATCTTCCGATAGATTAATGGAGGGCAAAAAGGAGAAACTTGAACGGGAAGACATTCACCACAGCCATATGGGGAGTGCTAAAGATCTTGTGTGTGATGCATTCGGTAAGTGTAAGCATAAGATTGGTAGCGCAATTGGAAGAACCAAAGAGGCGGTCGATCAGGCGGATGAGGAAGCTCATTTGGCTAAAGAAAGAGAGAAAGTGAAGGAAAGAGCTCATGAAGTGAAAGGAGCTGCGAAAAGAGGCGGAGAAAATGTAATGGAGACGGCCAAGATAATCAAAGGAGAGGCGGAGAGAAAGGCGGATGAGGAAGCTCAAGAGGCTAAAGAAAGAGTGAAAGATGTTGGAAGTGAAAAGGTGAAGGAAAAAGCTCGTGAAGTGAAAGAAGGAGCGAAAAGAGGCGGAGAAATCGTAATGGAAACGGCCAATATAATTAAAGGTGAGGCGGAGAGAAATGTGTGTAGAAAATTTGAGGCGACAATAGAAAAGGCGAAAGAAGCAAAAGAAATGGTGGAAGAGAAAGTTAAAGAAGAGTGGAAAAAGGGCTTGAAGAAATTTCTGTTTGATGTATTGGGACATAGTTTATGGCTGAAGAGTATGGGGATTTTACATTTGTTGGGATTTGCCACAGCTTATGGCATGTGTGTGTGGGTGACTTTCTTATCGAGTTATGTTTTGGCTAGTGCATTGGCTAGGCAGCAGTTTGCGTTGGTGCAGAGCCAGATTTATCCAGTGTATTTCAAGGCCATGGCTTATAGTGTAGGTCTGGCGTTGGTCGGGTATTTGATGGGTTCGCAAATGGAAGGAGTAGTGATACTCCAGGGCTTCAATCTTCTAGCACCACTGTTGATGATCATGGTGAATATGCTCTACTTGGAACCTAAAGCCACTAAGGTACATATATACCTTAATTTACAAATTAGTAGTTTGACTTGCATTGTGAAATAAATCAGCACCACATCACAAGAAATTCGAAATTGTAGCTGCGGTTTTTACATGAAATAATTGCAGGTAATGTTTGAGAGGATGAAGAAGGAGAAGGAAGAAGGGCGAGGAAAAGAGGGATTCACCACCAAACCAAGTAGCACGGTACCTGGTGAAAAGAATACACCTTCTCCAGATCCTGTTCAAGAAAGGCTCAAGGAAGCAGCACTAATGAGATCTAAAATCGTCATACTAAGTGAAAAATTAAAGAGGCTGAATTCATATTCATCCTTCCTAAATGTTGTGACTTCAATGTTTCTTACTTGCCACCTCGTTCACCTAGGCCAGCAACTCAATATGGTCTGTTAACATCCACTCTCTTGTACAAGGGATGGTTATTTTGCTGTCTACTTTTGTAGATATTAGTGTAGCAAGCTTTTGCCTCTCTTTTTTCAATCGTGATCCTCAATGGTCTACTAGTTTGAATTGATAATTTTGCTCAAGGAAATCTGTAAACTCGGTTACTCTTGCGAGTGCATTGTTGATATTGTCCTAGTACTAAACTGTAATTTCACATGGTTCAAAAAATTGAGATATTAAGAAGATGAACCAAAATTTAAATCCTGCACTCATCCGTGGATTAAGTCCTGGTAACATGTACGATTTACAAGCTAGCCAGTAAAATTTCAAAAATCTGATGGGGGAAGAGAAAATGCATTTTCTTAAGCAATGGAGTTAAGCTCGCCATAATGGTGGTGACATCCATGCATTTCGATCACCATCTCTTCTCGAGTCTGCATATTTGTTCACGAGCAACTGCAGTATCAAAGCTCGCTCTTTGATGTTACTAATATTAATCACATTTGATGTTTCTGTAAATCCTCCTAACGAATAAATTGGAGCCGAGATAGCCAATAGCGCCTGGAATTTTGCACGAAAATTACAAGAATAGAGAGTGGAATCAAACAAAACTATATCATGTGAGATGAAGGGAAGCAAACTTACCACATAATATTCCGAGACCAAAACAGAGCATCAAAGTGTAGCCAAAATAAAAACTGGTCTGGAAGAAGCCCGACATCTTAGTCTTCACGTGATAGTAATATATAGAATAGAAGAATACGTAAAGCGCAGTGGAAGCAGCAGATAAGAATGAAGTCCATTGCCAATGATAGTTCTCGGCGTTCAGCAAGAAATACGTGCCCACAATCGTTACACAGACGGTGACTATGATCAAAATTACAACCACAAGTAGCATGAAGCCATATACATAGTACACCTGTCAAGAACATAGAATGACGATCCACCGAGTATAAGAGAGTGAATTCTAAAAAGAAAGTGCTCGTTACCTTGTAATTCCAAAAGGAAGTGAACACGAAATACATTTCAATAAAAATGCTTCCGAAAGGAAGCAAACCTCCCATGAGAGAGATAACAGTTGGTGTGAGATACCACTTCTTCTCAGGGATTGGACGAGGGATTGTCTTCACACGACAAGGATTGTCTGGAGTGCCGCTCCAATTTCTTCCAACAACAGTACCAAGAAGTGACAAGGGTAAGGAAATGAAAGCCCATATGACAAGAACAACAACAATTGTACCGACGGGAATGGCAGCTAGAGAGCCATAGAATATGGCGATTGTGTTTAACACGAATCCAATAAGAAAGCACATTAAAGGGAAAAGTGATGCCGTGAGAATCATTGATTTTATCCAGCTTTTACCTGACAAGATGAATTAGGAGAAGCATTATATAGATGAATTCAGAGAAAAAAAGATAATAATCAACTTTTCACACAGAATCAATGGAAAACCATACTACAGATTATGAAGAACCTAAAAAAGGACAAGGATGCAGGCAGGGGAGGAGAGGGGAAGGGCGAGTTGAAGGAAGAAACAAACCCCCATTGCGGGAATACATGCTGCCGCTAATATAACCAGCGATGAAAGATGTAAGAGCATAACATACTATGAAGGTTGTGACAATTGCTCCTCTCCTGAGTCACACAACACCAAAACATATAAGTTCAAAAGCTTCAAAAGATGTTCCATCTTACAGCCCTTCTAATATGTCACACATTATATACAGAAAGTTTCAGGCATACCCTATATACAGCATTCCAATAATTGCTAAAATGATGACAAGCAGAACAAGAGTTGCAAGCTGAGCGCCAGTGCCAACAACAGCTGAAAGTAGAGACAGGTTTATTGGAGGCCGAAATACATCACCATGGACAAGTTTCCAACCTGATTCTTCATTCACATCCCTTTCCTAAACAGGAAAAGTTCAAAAGTGAGCATGCTTCAAAAGGTGTTATGTTCCTTCAATAAGAGTACCACTTTATGGGACCTGATGGTTAATGCACTTAGTAGTACAAGCATGTGTAGAACCAAGTCGCACAAAATATTTCATCGTAAACAAAACTCGTGAATATTTTTATATGGACAGACAGAAACAAAGTTCAGAAAACATTACCATAGTCTCCAGATCATCATCTTCCCGAGTGTATTTAGCATAGTCATTCCGGAGGGTGCGCATTAGTATCATTGAAACCAAACCAGTAAGAAAGATCACCATCATGAAAGAATTAAAAACTGAGAACCAGTGAATCTGTAAAACAAAAATTCTTCAATGAGCTGACTTGGAGAAATAATAGGAACACGGATTTTGGCAACTGCAGGTTGAGGATTAAGATCTTATTTTCTTCAGTATCTTTCTTTTCCCACTTTTATCAGCATCTTTAGAGAAAAAATTGACCAACATATGGAATGAAACTTAGAAGTTTTCATTAGCCTCCCTAGCATAAGACCAATTGGCATGTGAAAGCATAAATTTCCAAGGAAACTGGTAATAATAAGTAGTGTGTACCTGGTGCTCAAAAAAGGGGTAGTCCAGGTAAACATCAAATCGATGTGCAAAAGTGATGTTAGTTGAAATCCATTTGACAGAATAAGTCATGCGCAACACTCTCCCTTCTTCAATTGGCTTCGGGTTTTCCTGAGTGAGATTGACATGAATAATCTGCAAGAAGAGATTTCAGTTAGAAATGAATGAAGATACCAATGCATAATTTCAGAGATAATTAACACATACAAAACCTACCTGGTTCTTGTTGTATTCAATGACTAGATTTTTATGTGTCCAAAGCACATGCTTTGTGTCACGATTTCTATCAGGAAGCACCTCCCCAACAAAACCTTTAAACAAAGAATGAGCAGTTAAATCCTACGTTGAACATAATTCAACAAATCAAAAGATCTATGAGCATAGAAGACATACCCCAGAGTGGCAAATCATCTGATCACATGCAAGCCAAAGTATGCACAGAAACACAGTTAAAAAGGAGCAACAGTAAAAATATATGTGTGTGTGTGTGATTCTAAGAAATGGAACATAATATTAACATCCTTTGTGAACAATGTATAATCAATAATAACAAAGATTGTTAAGAATGTACCCATAAAAAATTCAAACCAGTATGAATTGTCAACTGCATCCTTAAACTGTTCAACCTTAGCAGCATCTAGTTGAAGCTCACAAATTGTAGTCGATTCCACATCTCCTGCCATAAGAATAGCCAGAAGTAAGGGATAAAGTTCTAGAGATGGAAAAGATATAAATAATGGAATGATTAATACGTATTACTCTTAAACTTTATATCAATTTGGCTATCAATAAGTTCATTTCCTCCAAGAACCTCGCCAAGGCCTCCCCACTTGTGAGCAGCATTGCCAGGTGGGTGACAAAATGGAAGGCTGTAGTAGTTGTAGGTCTCTTGTGGGTTGTTATACGGACCAACCTTGTTTACCCATAGTGTTATTGGATCATCTGCTTCATACTGCACATAAAATGAAAAAGAACATATTAAAAATACAATAGGCTGTTCGAGAGCAGTTTTTACTGCATTAGAAAGTCAAGGTACAGTATTCTCTTATTTGAAACTTGAGCTCAAGCTGACTCTTGAAGGTTCACACAGAGCTAGAATCTCATTAATACAACTAATGTTTAAAAAAAAATAATAATAATAATAATAATAAATAAATAAAAATTGAAAAATCACTCAACAATTGAAGAAACAGAACTTGGAAGACAAGACAAGTTGTGTGTACACGTGTAGAAGCTTTTAGATAAATTACTAATTGCACATACATAAGGGATCCATGAAGGCCAAAAAAAGTGCAATTTGAGGACACCATTTGATTATCGTAAATAAATTTCACATTTTCGGAACAAAAAATCCTCTCTAGTAGCCTGTGGCCATTCTTTTTCAAGTTTTTAATTTTTTTAACAACCTTTTGTTTTTCAAAATGAAACAAGCATCTAAAGCCTTTACAAGCAACCACATTCACTTAATATGAAAAGCTTGGTTGCTAGAAATCAAAACAAATTTCCTTCGCATTTACATCAGCAATTGAAGATAACCAATGACCATCAATAATCAATTTCAACAAAAATAGACATAAACTATCAAAAGCAACAATTTTTATAACCAGGATGACAGATTATCCACAAGATCTACAAGTAAGCAACGAAAGTGTGAATAAAATCAGAGAGGCAAATTACTTACCTTGCCGAGAGTAGGAGAAACAAGGAACAGAAAGATAATAATGAAGAAGCATAACGATGGGACGACGGAGCTCATCCTCATCGCCTCTCAGGGAAACAACACCGTTAGATCTGAAAAAGTAATTCACAATATTGAAATTGAAAAATACAAAATACAAAATTCTTCTTCCCTTCAAATATCCTTAGATCTCAATAGAAATAAATTGCGAGTGTTATTCGGTTATTGACTGTTTTTGTTTCAATGTGCGGAGGACTCGAAGACCTGAGTTTATATGGCTCCCCTGACTGTGGCTGTGGGCCATTTCCAATTATTTTATTTTACTCGTGCTTATTTTTAATTTCTTAAAATTTATATATTTTGTGATTTATTAATTCAAACCTCCTAATCTATTTTTCTTTTTCTTTTGAACTCTTCGAATAATCAAAGGGTTTCATAAACAAATATTTCGGAATAAAAGAATACGACATTTGCAAACGCAGACATTACACTACGACGTATTTCCATTTCATCGGACCATTACTCAGAAAATAGAAAGTCAAATTCAAAATCAATAACAACAAAACCAATTACTTCTATTTCACTATCGGTATGTTGACTTGGATATACAAACCAAAAGAAGATCGACATTGGAGTATATGTCAAATTTCAACTTAGTGCAATGGAGGCCTCGTATTAGCAAAATACTCCATATAAACCCCAAGATTTTCATCATCATCCCCACGCTCGGACGCAGATCCAATCACAAGCAATAACTGATCTTCCAGGTATCTCTGCATCAATCCAACTTCATCCTCACCCTCCTCAACCACGGACTCCTCCGTCTTCCGCCGCCGCCGCCGCCGCCGCCGCCGGCATATGCGGAAAAAAATTTCTGCTAAGCAAAGAAAGGGCCACGTGGCGCATAACAAAGGGAGGAGAAAAGGGAAGCATAGAATAAGAAACAAGTATCTCCTGCGGCGGCTATTGAGCCAGGATGTTAAAGTCATTCTGATTGTGGAAAAAGATATGAGGTGGTTAGAGTAGACGTCATCGTCGTTTTCGTTTTCGTTTTCGTGGTGGTTTATGATGAGTAGGTTTTCATTGTATTGGGTCATGGGTTGGGGGCTGCGTTTGGAGAAGAGACAGAAATCCCACGAGTGATTTCTTTACGCATAATCTAGGAGTGATGGGATGGCTTCTCTCTTTGTGACTTTGAACGCTCTATTTGGATTTTGTGTTAAGATTTGTAATTTGGATTTAACTAAACATAAAATATGGATATGGAAACAATATAATTTATGCGCAACTTTATTCACTTTACCGAAATGTAGGATCGATGAAATTGTTGTTCAAGTGTGATACTAGATACGCACTTATGATTATAATTAAATATTGATAAAATATGTCTCTGAAAATTTGCGAATCTTATAAAATATGTTATTAAAATTAATTTTTAAATTTGATCTGATTTGATTAAATTTTTCATCAAACATGGGCTAAATGTTGAGCAATGAACTATATAAAAAATAATAATAATAATATTTTTATTTGAAATCTCATTAATTCTTCGGAACTCGTTGTTTTGTCTATTGGGAGAATTCATCATGTGAATAAACTGTGGTAGTTGGTTAAGTATAGCATCTCATCTAAAAAATTCATAATGTTAGAGATGGGACAAATTTATTTAGCTAACATTTAAGGTCGAAATTATTTTATTTATTTATTTTGTATCGACCCTGACTTGCATAATTTTAATAAATGGTCGGTATGGAGATTGAACCTTGGGGGAGACAAAATGTAGAAATTATAGGGATAAAGTGTTTTCAAAATCTCAATTCATAATTAAAATTTACAATTTTTGTTTTTCAAAAATCAGTTATAATTAAAATTTTAAGTATTGATAATAATATTAGAAAAATTATTTTACATATCCATACCTCTAACATCTACTCTCGAAAACAATAATATTTCCCAATCTCTTCTCTCTCCATACAATCGACCCGTCAGTCAGCGCCACCATCGTTCTCTCTCTTCCTCTATACCATATCACATACTTCAGTCTCTCTCTCTCTCTCTACCCCTCCCCCTACGGCACAAGAAGCTAAAGAAGATCGTGGGGGACGCTGCACATCAGACTTGGAAAAGAGAAGGGTGGTTGTAGCGAATTGCCGAATAAAAAAAGGGGCGGTTGTGGTTTGAGATGGTTGCGGTTGCTATAGATCAGAGCCCAAAAAGAGAAAAGGATGCTTGTTAGTTTTTGTAGTAGCTGTGGTGCATGTGTCTCTGTGAGATTATGTCGATTTTTGTTGGATTTAGTCGGTATGTGTTTTTGTTTGTTTTGGGGGTATTTTTTGTTGGCGGTAGTGTAGATAGATCTGGCGATATTGGTGGTAGATTTCGGCGCTAGTGAGGTGTGGGGGTGGATTTGGCGGTGGTGAAGTGGTGGTCGCAAATGTTTGTGGTGCAGGTGGTGTTGGTGGCGGTAGCGATGACAGTGGTCGAGTGGAACAAAGAGTGTTTGAGACCAATAAATTGGTTCATTGTGACCAAGATAAATAAATTTGTTAATTTGTGAACAATAAATAATATGTAATCTAAAAATGTGATTGTGACTTACACAAGGAGGATAATTAGGACTAGGCAGACAGTGATAAAAGATCAAGAAGGAATGATGATGATCAGCCAAGTCGAGAAGAGATTATGACCAGAAAATGAAATGATACAAGTTCGAGTCCTATCATAAAGAAGATTGGTATGGTAGGAGAGGGAAAGATCTGTATGTCGATAGGAATTGGCAAAGACTTTCTTGTACACACCTTTGAGGACAACGTTCATTGCATGCAGGGACGGACGCAGACATTTTAGACTAGGGGGTCAGTAACGAAGTTTTAAAAAAGTAATGAAAAAATTAAAATAAGATATATTTTATTACAATTGTTCTCTACGTGTTCTCATACTTTGATAACGTTCCATAATTACATTATTTTCAATCTTATCAAAAAATCTTTCTCAATATATGCAATTAAACTATCATTCAATCATTGATCTCCGATTCGATTGCGCAGATACTTTTTGACATAAGTCATCGCAGAAAATGCTCTTTCGACTATAGCAGTAGCCACGGGAAGAATTAAGGCTAGTATCACAAGTTCGTAGACTAATGGATACACTTCTTGTTTATTCTTCACGACCAACTTTTGTGCAAGATCGCTAATGCCTTGTAATTCTTCAAAGTCTTCAGAAGTGCGCATATCAAGAATATACGTATCTAGTTGATCATCAAGTTCTAAGATATCTGCTGCATCAAAATCTACCGGATAATATTGACATAGTCGAATCAATTTGATCTTGTCAAAAGCAGCAAATGAATTATTTGGAGATAAACAGGCAACACAAATAAGCAAGTCACTATTTATTTCAGAAAATCGATCATTCAACTCTTGAACTTGCATATCAATGATGGCATAAACATTTTCACCCGAAAATGATGCAAATTCTTCACTGTCTCACTGTCTCCAATATCCTCAACATTTCCAACGTCTCCAATACCCCCAAATCCAACATCAACATCTCCAACGTGTCCAATACGCCCAACATCTCCAACATCAACATCTCCAATACCCTCAACATCTCCAACATCAACATCAACATCGTTTTCATCCCTTTTCTTTCAAACATTCCTTTCGTCGATATTTTGTTCATCACAGGAAAGCGTAGATTTACATTTAAAGTATTTTTTCATAACTGAAACAAACCAAAAATGAAAAATCAACAAGATTAGAAATGCCTAAATCAGTTTCTTATACTATGTCATACCTACCAAAAGTCAAACAAAGTTTCAATCTTCCCAAATCAATATTATCAATTTACATATAAATAAGTAACAAAGCCCTAAATCAGAAAAGGATCAATTTCCTAAATCAGAAATCCCTAAATCACATTTATTGGGCAGGAACAGGAATCATAATTGTATTGTACATAAATCCAAATTCAGAAAGACTAGTGCGTGGGAAAGAATAAAGAGAAAGGCAGAAACGAATGGCTGTAGGGGCAGACCGGTGGCCGGTGGGTGAGCGCTTCAATGGTGGGAGTGCACTGTGGCAGTCTCGCAGAGTGGGGAGAGCCGGAGAGACGAGAGAAAGAGAGAGATACTGTAGAAGGCTAAAAGAAATTGTGAATGTTACCTTGAGTTTTGTCTATTTTGAGTCTCTGGCCTATTAATTTATTTATATTAGAAAAAACCCTTAAAAACTAGAGGGTCAATTGACCCTATATGCCGCCCTTTAGATCTGCCCCTGATTGCAAGAATCACTAGTTTCTCCCGAGGGCATAGTATGGCTTTGTTCTTGGTGCTGCTTTTCTCATATGCTCTTTAGACATTCCAATATTTTTCTATTTCTTATCCAAATTCTCAGTATTATACACGACTCAACAAGTCTTTGATGCCTAGTTCTGTGTCATTGTTAGGATCCTTGAAACTGAAAGTGAATTTATTGTCTTTTTTGATCAATGATACTTAGATCACATATTCATTGATCCATAGTTGTATGGTTTATTGTATTGAACAAATTATTGTAGAACTGAATAGATCCTGAAGGAAGGAATAACAAGGGAAATCTAATGATAACCTCCAGCTTCTAACCAAATATGAGAGGCTAGGTAGAGTTTGAGATTAATTATATGGTCAAGGGCTCCATACCATAATTAAGTTTTAGTAGTAAGAATCTATAATAATTGACATCGGTTGATTTATATTTAATTTTGATATTTGTTAGCAGATGAACATAACACAATTATCTGTGCTTAAACTGAATGATTAACTAAGAAAGTTGAAGTGATCTAAATGATACTTTAAAGTTTAAATTGTAATTAGAAGATAATATGATACGTACTAAATTTTCATAAGTTGGTAAACATCAATGTTATGTTTTTAATAGCAAATGATTTAGATTCAGACATTTGATTCTAACTTTTTAATGGCTTGTTTGATAGAGCCAGCATATTGAAATTAATTCTATTGACTATAGTACATATTCCAATAAAAAAAAAAAAAAAAAGAGAGAGAGAAGAAGAAGAAGATGCAAGTAGTTATATTGGTTCAAAAGTTGGTCGTTATACTTTTGTCATTTCGTCAAGGACTGACTGATCTCCTAGGCAGGTTTCATTTCCAGTGTGAAGCATTTTTATAAAATGAAAAATAATTCTTTGTTTCACGTCCCTATATATATTTATAAAATGAGTGAGTTAGGATTTGTAGTAAAAAAATAAATAAAAATACAGGATTAGACTTAGCTAGTTTTCTTCTTATACAATCCACACGTGTCAAAATCAGAAAAGTCTAGAGAGGGAAGAATCTCAGTTTTTACTAATCTTTCCATTCTATCCATTGAAATGTGATCTAATCATTTATGCCACAACATGGAAGACAATTCACGGATTAAAGCGCTTTTTTCGATACATTGATAATACACAAGACTTCACCAAAAGGAGCTAAAGACAATTTATATAAATCATCACATAAAATGACATTCCCAATCAAACGAGAATCGTTAAATAACTTAATCATTCCATTACCAAAATTAAATGTAAAACTACAAGCATCAAATTTCAATATAGAAATTAAATTTCGTCTCATTTCGGTACAAAAACTTTATTTTCCAAAATAAGAGAAAAACTAGACTCTAAAGTCAACTTCAATACTTCTATGAATTCAATCTTCACTTGAACTCCATTTGCAATGCTCAAGCTCACTTCATTATCACTTGGCCTCTGTTTGCTTGTCAACCCCTGCAAGGAATTCGCAATATGAATACTAGCTCTAGAGTCTAACCACCAAAAATTCAAAGGCAAGTCTACTAAAAAAGATTCAAAACAAACCAAGACCAAGGAAATACTTGTAGAACTCTTTCTCTTTTCCAACTAGGTCTTAAACTTAAAACAGTCTTTCTGCCAATGACCCTTATTTTTATAGAACTTGCATTGATCAATTTTCTTTATAACTCCTTTGGGACCACTAACATTTTTATTCTGCTGATTTCGCTGGGACTTATTACCATTACGAA